TTGGGCCGTCTTGACAAAGGACAGGTTTACCGCCCATGAGTATAATAAGCTTTCAGCCCGCAAGATTGGTCCCGTTGAGGTGGTTGAGAAGATCAACCCGAATGCTTATCGACTGCGTCTTCCGTCTCATATTCGTACATCGGATGTGTTCAATGTCAAGCACTTGGTGCCGTTCATGGGAGACAATTCAGACGACGACGAGACCGGTTCGGATTCGAGGGCGAATCCTCCTCAACCGGGAGAGGATGATGAAGACGAGACCGCCATTGCGTACTTAAATAAATATGATCGTCTTCGGGTTTAGTCTTCTTATTTATTGCTTTTATTAAGTACTCTTTATTTCCTTTATTTGGTAACTTTATTAGGAAAATAATAATAATAATAATAATAATAATCCTAATTTTAATCATATATAATCTCCATCATAATCTCCATCAAATTCTTATTTCTCGTGGAATCGACCCTTATTTGCCTTATTTGCCTTATTTGCCTTACTACTAATTCATTGAACAAACTTTATAAATTTAGATTTGCGTGTTAGATTGGCAAAAGGACCAAGAAAAGTAAAAGCCACTTAAAGGATGGCCACACGAGCCGAAACTGATTACTACGTCAATCCAGTTTTGATCTAGTGCAGGCACATTCTTTTGGTCAACTTATTTAAAAAAAAAAAGGGGCTTAAATAACGACTTCAGTTAGACATGGCCAAAACGTGACCCAACCCGGCCCGCCGGGCTCCAAAACAATGACCCGGACCCTACACGGACCTATACTCGTGTCGGGTTAATGGCCCAGTTGACCGGGCCGGGTCCATCATGTTTTTTTAAAAAAATAGAGAAAAATAGAAAAAGCGGGCCATCGACCCGGCTCGGCCCGGGCCCGGAATGAAATTGATGATACTGAAACGGCACGTCTGAAATCCGGTCCGGTCCCGGACCCATGGTCAACGGGTTTGGCCGGGCCGGGTCTGTGACGGGTCAGCGGGCCGGGCGGCCCTTGGCCATGTTCAGCTAGACTATATTCTCACTGCCAAAAATTGACCTTTTTTTGGCCTGCACCAGAAAGCATGACGAATAACAAGAACAATATATTTGCACATACCTGAAATAGAGCATTTTTGGAGCCGAAGTGGAAACCCAACTTCCTAAATCCCATCCTCACTGCAGACATCATCTTGAAACAATCCGTTGGGAAATCCTGAGCTTCCCACCTGCGCCCTTTCTCTACCAAACAGACCTTAAACCCGGCCATCGACAGACGACAAGCTGCAACCGAACCTCCGTATCCCGAACCAACAACAACAGCATCATAACCATTGTCACAAAAAACATCCGAATCGAGCTTTTCCATTGCCAAGCACGTAATCGAATTAACAATGGAAAAATGAAAAAGAATGCTATGTCTATGTTCCAATAACGTCGGAACACCTTTTCGACAATATCGACGTGCTTATCAAGGAATGATTTTGAAATGACACTTAAATGTATAAGCATATATATATAGCCGGATGTCTAATTATTACATAAGAAATCTACCTAGTATTCTATTCGTATATCATTAAATACGAAGTACCTAGTATTTGAGGTCCTTAATTCAACTCGGAGGCGTTGTCTTCATCGGAACTGCTCGTGGAGGGAAATAGTCAGAGCATTTGTTTAATCAAAATGCCACCTGTTTCTAAGTCTGAAAACCTGCGATTAACAAACATTTACTACAACTTGATTTTTTTTTTTTTTAAAAAAAATATAAGACTCAATCCAACTTCACGAACAAAATTTGACATTCTCAATCCCCTTCAAAAGTCAAATGAAAGAAAAGGTCCATGTTGTTGACTAATTCATGAAACTACAATATTAAGATATAGTATTGCAGGAAAGACAGCATATCTCACAATGCCTACTCTAAAAAATAAATAAAACAATATTAAAGTCTTGCTATTTCGACACATTTCCTCAAGGCATCTAATAGACTTCTCATGATTCTTGGTTCTCCGGGAGGCGGTTGGGCTTTCTTTGGCCCATTTCTTACGGCCCGAAACATTGGGCCAGAGTTTTCGGAGCCCGGAAATACGACACAGTCTATGTACACAAGAACTTCAGTCTCTCCGCCATTTCCTATAGTAATGAAACCGAGCCTAGCTCCACCGGGGATTTTGTCGACCTGCTCATTTTGAATAAATAATAATCAATGTAGCTACTTGTTAAAATACAATACAAAAGCTCAACTGTTACTTCAAACAGTTTTTCGGGTAATTTGGAAAAATTTAAGGGCAACTATGGTAAATTATCCCTAAACCCTTTTGTTTAATTTAACTGCTTGGACAACCTGGGAAGCTTAGATATTGTCACAAACCTTCAGTGGCACTGGAAGAGGCAAATTTGCACCTTGGCATAGACTGTTCCCCCACTGTCAGATACATTGAAAGTACTTAATGAGTGAAAACTCCGAAATCGAAATCTCGAATTAAGAGAGAAAATGACTGAGAACAAATTGACTCTCAAACAAAACCACAGTTACATACAGCCAAGGGGCCAAAGATATACTCTTTTAGCTCATTGATCCATGGAACCTACTAAAATTAACCAGCAAAATGGAATTAAGTCGAGTCTACCGTACACTCTCGATTCTGGTTTTTACACCCAACTCTAATGAACACAACTTTAAGTGAACAATCCCGGTGACTACAGCACAAACCAGTTCCTAATATTCGTTTCAATAAGAAATTCAATAGAGCAGAGCATTTGTTTGGTACGGTGGATTGAATTTTTCATTGGGCTGGAAGGATTCAATGCATAAATATAAATCAAGACTCCCATTAGGGGTTGTCAGCTGTCGATTATATGTGTAAGAAACGGGGGAAAACGCTGTCGATTATGTGTTTAAGAAACGGGGGCAAACCGGGTGCGGTCCATGAAGCGTACCAAGACAAGGAAAGCTAGATGAAGCCCAAGTGGGGTTCCATCCCAAAACCAATTGGTGGAAGGAGGAGTAGCACATTAGACTTATAGATTAGGCCTATGTTCCCTATATAAACGATGCGGGACAACTCGTAAATGAATATTCTAATAATGTGCTTCCACCATTCTTTATTCGGAACAACATAATCCCACAACATTCAATTATGAATAAACGCAATATATAACAGTAAGTCAGGCAAGTCACCTGAAACAACAAAGTCTCGAACCTAGTAACATCTGTGTCGGGTGGAAGTTTCATGGTTCCCAAAGAAACTCCATCCTCGTCGCCGGCGGCCGTCGGCAAAACAGCGTCCGCCGGGGACGCCTTGGACGACGGAATTAAGCACCGTTTGGTCGAAAATTTTGCAAGATTAAGGAAGGGAAGAGTGTTGGTGGTGAGTGAAGGTGGGGACGACCTAGCCATGATGATAAAGAAGCCAGATGGTGATGGTTTTGCAATGGAGGGATTTGCTATGGCGCCGTGTAATGGGTTTATGGCCGCCATGGCTTTTGAAGCAAGAGCTCCAGATGGTGTTCTTGTTTGGTTGCCGGAGATTGTTGTTGTAAGCTGCAGGGCTTTTTGTGTGGAAGATGACTCGTGAGTGTGTGGATAGAATTTTTACACATTCATGATCAGCCACGTGGCGCAATAACATCTCGTTTTTTTTTTTTTTTTTTTT